CTCTATGAGATGGATTGATTCGGTGACTGGGGTAATCGGGATGGGTGTGTCAGAGGCGGTGCGGTTGGCGCAGGACAGAGCAGGGTTTAGGGCTGTTGTGCATGGGGTCGCTATGAGTCGGAAACGACTCGACGGCACATAACAACAACAACAACATATGTTATCTGAACGAGCACTACATGATTTAAAATCAAGAAGAGTGTGCATCGGGGATGTATCCTTTCTCCACACCTATTCAATCTCTATGCTCAACAAATAGTTTTTGAAGCTGGACTCCATGAAGAGGAATGTGGTATCGGAATCACATGAAGACTCATCAACGACGTGCATTATAAAGATGACACAACTTTGCTTGTTGAAAATGAGGAGGATTTGAAGCATTTGTTGCAGAAGGTCAAAGACTACAACCTTTAATATGGATTATATCTCAGCATCAAGAAGACAAAAAATCCTGACCACTTGGCCAGTAGACAACATCATGATAGATAGAGAAAGAGCTGAAGTTGTCAATGATTTCATCTTGTTTGGATCAATAATCAGCATCCTCAGGAGTCTGCAGTCAGGAGATCAGGAGATGTATTGCACTGGACAAGTCTGCTGTCAGAGATCTCTCAGAATCCTGAAATACAATGATATTAGTCTGATGACTAATATGTGCCTGATCCAGACCATATTCTTTTCAGTCACTTGATATAGATCTGAGAGCCAGACAATGAATAAGGACGATAGAAGAATGGATTCCTTTGAGCTATGGTGTTGGAGAAGAGTACTGAATATCCCATGAGTTGCCAAAATAACAGATATGTCTTGGAAAAAGTGCAACCAGAATGTGCCTTGGAGTCAAAGATGGTGAAGTGCTTGAGCATACTGTTAGGAAAAAGTATTCCTTAGAAGGGGAGGGACATCATAATTGGAAAGGTGGAGGGACAGTGAAGGAGAGGAAGACCCTCTGTGAGATGGATTGACACAGTGACTGCAGCAGTAGGCTGTAGTATGTCAGAAATGGTGAGCATGGCATAGGAGAGGACAGGGTTCAGATTTGTTGTTCACAGTATCAGTGGTGTAGTACATAACAACAGCAGTGTTGAAAACAGTTGAAAATGAGGCAGGAGTTAACCACTTAATGACAGAAGATCTAGTTGCCCAGGGGTGGGAAGCATTGTTATTATATGGCTTCACCAATGAGAGTTTATACAACCAAGCAGTCCAGATAAGGGGATATTCAAAGCTAGGTATTTTTACAGAGGAAAAAGGGAATGTTCTGAAAACAGCATTCTGGAGCAAGGACGTTTCTGCTATATCCTCCTTTCTGACTTTAAGAAATAGATCACAAGAAGCAGCTGATGGATTTGAACCACATACTTTCATCGACAGCACATTTCCTTACCACTAAGCCAAATAGTATTAACTGGATCTAATGGGAATGTCTGCTGTTCGGGACCTCTCTAGGGTACTGAAGAGCAATGGTGTCACTCTGGAGACTAAGGTGCATCTGATACAAGCTATGGTCTTTGCAATCACTTGTTATACATCAGAGAGTTGGACAATGACTAGGGAGGACGGAAGGAGAATTGATGCCTTTGAGCTGTGGTGCTGGAGAAGAGTATTGAATGTACCATGGACTGCCAAGAAAACAAATAGATTCATCCTCGAGAGGGTTAAACCAGGCTGCTCCTTGGAGGCAAGGATTCTGGGGCTTCATCTGTCATACTTTGGACATGTTGTAAGGAGGGAGAGGTCCTTGGAGAGGGACATCATGCTTGGGAGGGTGGAGAGACAGCGCAAAAGTGGAAGACCCTCTATAAGGTGGATTGATTCAGTGACTGGTGTAATCAGGATGGGTGTGTCAGAAGCAGTGTGATTGGCGCAGGATAGAGCAGGGTTTAGGGCTGTTATTGTACATAGGGTTCCTTTGAGTCACAAGCAACTCGATGGCACATAACAACAACAACAATATTGCTGGAGAAATGAATGAAGTATATGTGTCTAAAAATGCTTATTTAACGTGTTAACTACAAATGTTCAATAACTTTGTTTTTATTCTGTTTCATTTGTATTTTACACACTATGGATTAATGCTATTTTAGTATTAAAAATAGTATTTTAACCTTTTGTTAAAGCTTTTTATATTTGTATAGACCTAAGATTTTTTTTAATCTTAGAAATAAAACAGTTTTTCTCTAAACCAGATAAGCATTTTTTTTAAATAGTTGGTTTCTGTTGTTATTATTCATTCCATTTTTAGTGTACTTTGATTCATTGTGGATCATTTGCTTTTTTTTCATTAAATATCTTATAGAATCTTATAGAATAGAATCTTTTAATAGTTCCCCATATATAGTCAACTTAACCTACTTTTATTTTCTGCTATCAGAGGGACCAGTCTTTGGGGGGGAAAAACCTCATCTTGGAAAAGGTGGAGGGTCTGAGAAAGAGGGAAAGACCCTCACCAAGATGGATTGGCACAGTGACTCTTAACGGTCAGCTCAAGCATATCAGAGATCGTGGACTTGGTTCAGGATAGGGCAAGGTTCACATCTCTAGATTAAAATAAAATTTTAAAAAAGTTTATAATTTCATTATTTAAACTGTTTGAATTTGAGATAGTTTTTGTTTTCATTTGGGAGATAACCATTAGAAATAGCCACTGGTCAGTGTTTCTCATCCCACTGCTGTTCATTTTCAGAGTGGCCGACAGCATACTACCTTTTCAGCGGAATCAAGTCGAAGCCTTTTGATCTGTCTGCTGTGGGTTCTCAAGAATGCTGATGAGACAGTATTACAAAAATGGTTTACAGATCTTTCAGTTCTTCAGCTTAACCGACTGCTAGATCTGCTTTATCTGTGTGTATCTTGCTTTGAGTACAAAGTAAGTGATCATTATGCCATTTGAAGAACTAGTAATTAAACAATATAGGAGAAAAAAAGGAAGAAAAATTCCTCAATGCTGCCTCTTTTTCTAATGTTTTCCTTTCAGGGAAAGAAAGTGTTTGAAAGAATGAATAGTTTGACCTTTAAGAAATCAAAAGATATGAGAGCAAAGCTTGAAGAAGCTATTCTTGGGAGCATAGGTGCTAGGCAAGAAATGGTGCGGCGAAGCCGAGGACAGCTCGGTACGTACACAATATCTTCACCTTCTGGTGAGAATCTTTTATGTTTCTTTAAGCTGTATGTTGTAATTTCCATTGTACAGGCTTTTATTGAAAATCCACATGCTTTTCATAAAGTATTTAAGTGTAACCTTTGATTAACCATTTCTCTGTAGGAATGCGCAATAGAATTCTATCTTTAACCGAATACTCTCCCACTGCCAGTCAGTGAATTCTCACTCATAGTAGCAACCCTGTAGGATAGAGTGCAACTGCCCTGCAGGATTTCTGAGCTATGAAATATTTTATAGGAACTGACTGCCTCATCTTTTTCCATTGAGTAGCTGCTGAGTTCCATCCCGTAGCCTTTTCATTTGCAGCCTCTTCCTTAATCTACGGTGTGCTAGGGCTCTTACACAGAGTGAACATTTCACCACACTTTGCCCATGCCAGATATTATGCCTGTTGCCCTTGTACAAATATTAGTAGCATCTTTTCTTATTTATAAAGTACTCCAATTTGTATGCTAATATAGGTTGAGTTTAAGGCAAAGACATTGGCTATCACACTTAAATACTAGGAAGAGAGTACAGTTTAATTGCATTTATTTCCCAGTTCTGTTCCCAGGTTCACTAATTGTTAGCCGGGTAACTTAGACCACCAAGCCACTTAACTTGCCTACATTCTTTTCCTCATCCATGTGTGATATTATAAAAGATAATACAACTAATTGATTACTTCTTTTTTGTTGCAAGCATGTGTATGGAAACATTTCATAACTTCTAAGATGGCATACAAAGAATATCATTAATCCTGAGAACTCTAAAGAGCTCAGTAGTGTCTCTACTTGAAACATTCTGACTGTATGTTTATTGCTTTAAAATATGAATGTATATATATGCACCAGAAGTTTTTCAATAGTAGGTTTTCTGGTTAACATTAGTGTAGTGATCATTTATCTAAATATCTTGTACATATATGTTTAAATGTTTGCACTTTGAAATTTACTTAGTCACAGTCTTGCCTTTACTAGAGTTAGGATTTTTTGTTTTGTTTTCCTTACAATTTACAGTTATCCCTTTGAGTTTTCTTTTAACTCATTTATTGTGTACAATAACCCTATGAAAATAAAAGAAAAGTAACATTTGTTTAGGTCATAATTACTACCAGAAAAGCTTGCGGTGAATCACATAAGTGACAGAGCCAGGATCTTTTGCTTTCCATTTGAGTGTTCTTTTTTGTACTAAAGACATTTATAAGATTTGTTTTAGGAGAAGATGAGACTGCCAGCAGTTTATCTTAGCTGTGTTTTTATCTCTCTGACCTCAGGAGAGATCTCATTTGAATGCAAAAGCAAAGTTCCTGTCATAGGAATACCGATTCTTTGCAATTCTTCCTTATATTTGGACATTTAAGCTTAGAATTCCTAGTGGCAGACGTTTTTAACCAAGATGGTGTAAGATGATCTTTTAGTTATTGATTATTTTTGTGTACTATCCTATTGATTCTGACTCAAAATAACCCCATGTGACAGAGTTGAACCACCCGCAAATTTTCCTGGGCTGCAATCCTAGGGAAGCAGATCGATTGCCAGATCTCCCACATAGCCACTATGTGGATTTGAGTCATCAAGCTTTCATGTAACAGTTAAAACTATACCATCTGAATTTTTTACGTTACTGATAAAAGTGTAAATAAGTTATTTCGTTAAAATACATAAACAGATTTGTTTTAATCCACAACATTTCTTTAGACTAAATATTTTAAAAGGGAAAAGAGGAGAAGGAAGAGAAGAAAACAAAAGTAATTTATCCAGACATGTTCTTTGTTGTGTGGCAAATATTTGTTTCTCAGTATTTTTTTTCCATTATAAACACTAGATATTTGCTTTTATTATTTCTGTTACCATCATTCATAAGGAGCAGATGCAATATAGGGATTACCAAATCCAACTTCTGCCCACTTCATAAAGAGGAACTGTCTCCATCAATAATGTCCATAGCTGTAAACAGCTGCTCTGTCAGACATGCCACCCCAAGGCTCTGCACCTCTTTCTACCAGTCATTTGGTTCGATATGTGTTTTTTACTCACAGTTGTGGGTTTATTAGGGAATTTGGCTGGGAAGTGAAGGAGGCAAGGAATATAACCAATACAAATTCAGGTTTATTCCAACAATCCCAACCCAGATTAACAGCAAGACATAATTCCTTAACGAGTGAAAGTCCACGTTTTAGTTCAACAGCACAAATGCAAGAAACCTCTGGTTTCTACAGTCATCCAGAAAACTTTATCTCAAAAAGCTTACAAGTCAGCTCTTTCAGGTTTCATTTCAGCAAGCAAAATCTTTAACTGTGGCTACATCTCCAAGGTTCCTTTGGATTATTTCAAAATGGTGCCACAATCTCTTCACTCTCTCTCCAGAGCTATTGTTGCCACTGTCACCAGGGTACATCACATAGTGGAAAGCTCTCTCGCTTATATTGGTCCCACAGCTGTTGATGATTTGCAAGACCAAGTGTCTGCAGTTAAGGTAGCTGGAGACCATGCCCCCTCCAAGAAGGGCTTAAACAATGGTTAGAAAAGCCATTTTCAAGGTTTCTGATACCCCATCTCCCAAACAAAGGCTTGCATTTTTCAAAAAGCATTGTTAATTTTCTACTCGAAAGCCTAAAACTGTTATTGATTCCATCATTTACCTATGTATTTGTACATGACTTCATAAGTTTCAATGCCTCTTGACTTCTGATGGACCTTTCACTCTTCCTTTGACCTCAGAGAGAAAGCTGCTTTTTTGCCCCTTTTCTTGACTTTTATAGGTCCAAAGGAAATAAATATTCATAAATCCTTCTAATTTTGTTTGATAGTTTAGCGGAAACTTAATATACGTTAGCTGCATTGACAGCCTGGGCATTAAATAGTGCACATTGTTACTTTTCTGAAGAATTATGGACTCTTGTCATAAATGTTACTAATAAAAATAAATTAAGCGTCTCAGAAGTATTGCAAAGTGAGGGGAAAAGCCTTTCTAAGGAAATGGCGAGTGATTGGCCAACCATAACAGAATGAAGTAAGTGAATTACAGGAAAATTTATAAGAAGACTAATCAAAAGAAAAAAAAAACAATTTCGAAACTAAGAATAAAAATAATATGTTGTTGTTGTTATTTGCCATCAAGTCATTTCCGACTCATAGTGACCCTATGCACAACAGCTCTAAACCCTGCTCTATTCTGCGCCAACCGCACCGCCTCTGACACACCCATCCCGATTACCCCAGTCACCGAATCAATCCATCTCATAGAGGGTCTTCCCCTCCTGCACTGTCCCTCCACCCTCCCAAGCATGATGTCCCTCTCCAAGGACCCGTCCCTCCTGGCAACATGTCCAAAGTATGTCAGACGAAGCCCCAGAATCCATTTCTACCTTAGAATTAAATGGCTGTGCAGAAAATTAATGGTGTTATGTAGTACTTGTTGAATGTTTTCACATTTATTTAAATGTAGTCCCAACTGAAATGAAAATATTGAATTAGTATTAAACTGTATTTGACAGAGAGAAGTCCTTCTGGAAGTGCCTTTGGAAGTCAAGAAAATCTGAGATGGAGGAAGGATATGACTCATTGGCGTCAAAACACAGAAAAGCTTGACAAGTAATATAACCTAATACTTTATCTGACTTACAGCTTGTTGGATTTCAAGTGATTTTTTAAAAAATATTACTTTATGCATATTGGAAGCTCTGATGGTTTAGTTGCACTGCCAACCCAAAGGTCACTCCTCTCAGGCATTTTGAATCTGTCAGTGACTCTGACTGAGGAAGATGGACAGTTTTCTCCTGTGTCATTTATAGCCTCTGAAATCCACTGGAAGGTCAGCTATGAGCCATTTCCAATTAAGTTGCAGTGTATTTTTGAGGGTTTTATGTGTATTAGACCAAAAACTACTGAGTAATTTTTTTATTATGGTATATAGGGAAAAAAAGACTTGAAGCATTTACTGATAAAGCTAGCCTTCAGTCACACTTTAGCATAAAAAAAAAACCACAAAAGTCTTCATAACTAGACTAAGAAGCAGCATCATGCTAAACAATTTAAGCCTGGTAAGATAGCAAACTTTACTAATTCTCACACCTTTTTGGTCTTATCTCACTCTAAAGTGTCATTGACTTTATCTTATTAACAAGGTAGCTCATCCTCTTGGTGGGCCACGAACACCTAATGTATACAGAATCCCACCCAGGTATCAGACCACTCTAACAAAGACCATGGCTAGAAGACCAACCTCAAATAAGTCATCCCAGCACACTTCAGATTATTATAGAATGCAACTATTTTCTAAACCCATGTTAGGGGTCATGGTGAACTAATATTTTAAGAACGCAGAAAATTAGAAAACTGATCTTTGCTTTCTTGGAGAGTAGGGGCAAAACAAAAGTACCAATGTCCTGAAAATAAAATATATGTTAGGAAGACCAAATTAAATGAAGATCGAAACCCAGAGAATTGGAACAAGAAGGGGTTTTGTTTTGATGTTTTGTTTTGGGGTTTTTGTTTTGTTTTTTTTTTTTATATGAGGGGATTTTGCTACAAGTAGAATTAAGGCATGACAAAGCTAATGGGATAAGAAATAAAGTCTAGGTCCAGCCTAAAATAAGGATTATAACAACAAATTACTTTTTGCACTTTCTTGAATCTAGGGCCCTAAAGGCTGCATCTTTAGTATAAAAGGAACTAGAAACAAACCATTACCATTACCTTAGTGACGACAAATAAAAAGCCTGCACTGAAATTTGAGATTGAAGAAAGATGTTAAGATCATTCTTTTGGCAATTTATAATCACAAGTTAACTTCCAACTAGCTTGAGAACTATAAAACTTCAATTTGACTAAAAAAAGTGACCAGGTTGTTCTGGTTTACCTAAGATTTTCCTGCATAGAGTAGGACATGAAATAGATAACTGCTTGGTTAACCCTGTTAGAGAATCTTCTTCAACCTAAGCCTCAGAAAATTCTTACAGATAAGCTGAGATTTCTCAGCTCCTAAAACAAAGGGATACAGGGCCCAGTGAGAACCAACAAAGAGACACATAGCTGATTCAGTATGTTTGAACAGAATTTTTAAGCCTGGTGGGCTGGCACAACTGACCAATCTTTGCATCCATCTACTTTTAGTTGCACAAGGAAACCAAAAACTTTGTGTAGCTTGCTTTATAGAAATAGTGGTTTTATTTCAGAGGTCTGAGTTGAACCCACAATATCTGTAAAGTATCCCTGCACTAAACATCTTGAGTATTGCTTTACTTGAATCAGCTCTAAATAAAAACTCTCATAGCACCACCTAGTGTCCATGCCATTCAAAATAAAACAAGTGCTTTTCTGTGTATGGTTAACATACAACTTAAAAGCTGAACATTACTGCCTTTGTAGTGATGTGATATTGTAACAAAGTAAGAGAATAAATATTAGAATGGTAGAAAAAAATGAAGAGTAAATTTAAAAAAAATTAATACTAAAATAAAGTGTATTATAACATATAAAACATTACTTTTAAAAATAATTTTATTTTATTATTTTTTGTGTCTACCTTCAAATCTGATCTGACTGGTGGAGGAGGAGATTGCCCCTCTTTCTCCAGCAGAGCACCTGGAGGATTCGGAACAGGTACCTCCGGGATTGCAGTGCAGCTTTTTGCCACTAGGCCACCAGAGCTCCCTAAAAATGTTACTTTTTTACTTATTTTTTTATACTCTTTCATGTAGGTAAATAAAAAATGGTTTCAAGTCTTTTTACTTCTCTGTTTTTTGAGCCAAAAGGACAAATATAATTATTTATGATAATTTGTCTTAGGTCAAGAGCAGAGATTGAACATGAAGCACTCATTGATGGAAATTTAGCAACTGAAGCGAACCTAATAATTTTGGATACTTTGGAGATTGTTGTCCAGGTAAGTAACATAAAGGACAAGAATTTAAAATACAGATTTATTAAATTGGGGAAAAGTATTTATTGAGCCGTGTAAATGCCACATAGTCCTTAAAAGTTCCAAGAATTCTGCGACTATTTAATTATATTTTAAATTTATCTTCATAAGTTGAAGTGTTTGTGAAATGATTATAGAATCTGTGCCTTCCCTTCAAAGTCTAGTTAATGAATTTTTAAAATCCACTCAGTTTTTATGGTTAGCATCTACAGACATAGCTAAGATGTAGCTGGAGCTCACTATAAGATGGAATGGGTTTATTCAGTGTCTAATGTGTAACACATGGTATTCTGTATAATGATCTCATTTAGAAGCTCTAACAGTGATCCTAACAAAGGATCCTTAACAGTATGAATTGACAGAGTGACTGTAACAATGACCTTAAGCACAATAGAGTTTGGGGGCTGATGCATGATCAAGCAGGGTTTTGCTCTGTTGCACATAAGGATTACTGTGAATTGGAACCAATTAGACAACACCTAACATGACAACAGTGATCATGTAGGTATTTTTATCCTTTCAATAATATTAGTGATAACTAATATCTATTTAGGTTTTTCCAGTCTCAGACACTGCCCTGAGCACTTTACAGATATTAACTTGTTTGATTCTTATATGAAACTCACACAGTAGAATGTATTAATATACCTGTCTGCTGGATGAGAATAGTGAGACACAAAGATATTATGTAATTCTTCTTAATCATACAGTAAGGAAAGAAGCAAAAATTTAAATCAATTCTTGAACATTCTCAATTGTTTCTGTAAATATGTCTCACATCTGATTGTTTCATTCCTTTTCTGCTGTCAGATTCTTATTTCAAAACTATTTCGGTGGCTAGCTAATTTATGACACTCACTCTTACATTTCTTTCCTCTCTAATTTGTTCTTTGTATCCTGTGAAGTTTTTTGTCTTAAAATATAAGAAAGAATTCATGGAACACTGTAAAATATGGATAAATCTAGAAAAAATAAGGCTGAGTGACATATGTCAGTCACAGAAGGGCTATTACGGTATAAAGCCACTATTACAAAAAGGCAATAAAAGTTTACATGCAGAATCATTCTTGAATTGTTATTGAAGATGGCAATGGAGGAAGTGCAAATTAAAAATTAATAGATGCATTGAGTAATTGGAAGGGCAAAGGAACAATAAGTTTGATCAGATTTAGTAATTAAACACATTAATCATTTGTTACTGATATTATAAAACTAAATGTATATGAATGGTTGGATGTAAAACTCATGATTTATAAATTTTCACTCAAGTAAAAATTATTTTAAAATATTTCATTAAATACATTGATTAAAATATTTTTAGAAATTTTGCTATTTCTTCATTATCTAATTGAGGAAAAAATAAGAAACAGTTCAGAGTTTTAAGGTTCTTTTTATATTTTTCTTCTCTGTGAGTTGGATGACAAGACTTTATTTCATATACTTTGAACATATTATCAGGAGAAACTAGTCCCAGGCAGTGAACAGTATACCTAGTAAAGTCAACATTCAGTGAAAAAGAGGAAAACCTTCAACAAGATGAATTGACAGAGTGGTTGTGACAGAGGACTCTAACATAGCAGCAGTTTTGAGGATGATACAGAACTGAGTAGTATTTTGTTCTATTGTATATAGGATTGTTATGAGTTAAACCTGACTTGCTATCACAAAGAAAGCAAACATAAATGCAGTCTTAGATAAATGACCAAATGTACTACTCAAGTTTTAACCCTCATATTTGCATTTGAATCAGAAGAATGGAAAATAGACTAAGAGCAGAGCACATTCTTTCCTTTAAGGACATAACTTAGACTCTACTTCTCTTATGTTCACACCTTTTTGTTGTTGCGTTACCAAGTACCTACTTACAGCTCAGTCTATTAGGATATTTCTGACAGTCACTGCCGTGGCCACTACTCTAGTTTTTATGATTTTTCTCTCGTGTTTCATGTGAGCCTTCAGTTTCTCCAAATTAATTTGCTAAGTTTTCCAAAGCATAATGCTTTTGCCACTTATTTCTGCAATTTTTTTGCATTCAGTTAGTATCCATTTTTTTCTCCCTTCTTTGCCTTTTCTTGTATAATCTAAATCCTGCTGTTTTCCATTTCCTTGGAGTCCTTCTGGCTCTTATTTTACTATTTTTCTGTTTATTTGTTGTTTTTATGCTGTGTCTCACTAAACAAACCAGAGGTATGTCTTAATTTCACTTACGTATTTTTAAATCACAGACAGTTTCTGTAACAGAATCCAAAGAAAGCATCCTTGGTGGGGTGCTGAAAGTGCTACTACATAGCATGGCCTGTAACCAAAGTGCAGTTTATCTTCAACATTGTTTTGCAACACAAAGAGCCCTGGTCTCAAAGGTAAATTATTTCATGCCTATAGTCTTGTCAGCCTCTGTTTTCTTTAGTAACATTTTCTGAGATCATATGACACATTCCTTCTTTAAGCTACTTGTAATTAATGTTAAATAATAATATGACACCTTTTGAATTTTTTTTTTGTTCCCTATATTTAGATTTCTGTATATAAATAAAAACTGGTAAAAAACCTTTTTCACTGGTTTCTGTTGTGGCCTATTGGATGTGGGATTACAAGGTTAATCCAGAAGCAGGCAGTTTGAATCCACCAGCTGCTCTGTGGGAGAAAGATGGACAGTTTCCTCCATGTGGTTTATATCCTCTGAAAACCTACTTTAGGGTTAGCTATGAATCTGCTCTGACTCAGCAGAAATTAGTGAGTTTTATGTTTTCTTAGAAACAAACAAACAAAACAAAAACCTGCCTTTTTGATATGGAGAAAAACCTGAAATCAGTTTTTAAACTTTAAGATAGAGGTTTTTTCTTGTTTTCCCTTAATATCTTCTGCCATCCCACAGTAGCTTTATTTATCAAGAATGTAATATGTAACCACAAAAAATGACTTCTACTCAGCTGGAGCAACAGAAGGAGAATCAGGAATAGTATCAGGAAATGGTGCATGTGGCTAACTGCCTGAATAACTGTCTCCCTTCCCACAACAGCAGAAAGGGTAGTACCCAGTTCTCATTACTGAACATTTTATAGGAGAATCCTGGTCAAAAGTGGAAAAATGTAGAGCAAAATTTCAAATTCTCATAGACTAGATTTGTGGAGTTATTCTCATTAGAATAGATTTGTGGAGCCATGAAAGTTAGATGAAATTCTTTAACTCTTGCCCTTTGATAATTCTTCAACCTTAAACCCAAAATGTATTTCTTGTATTCTTCTTAAAACCAAAACATAATTTAGCTTAACTATTAAAAAGGGGCTCGTTGTTACACTATAGGATAGAGTAGAACTGCCCCTAGCAAGGCTGTCAATCTCTACAGAAACAGTCTGCCTTATCTTTCTGCCACTGGTCGAGCCAAACCTCCAACCTTTTGCTTATTAGTCCAACACTTAATCCAGTGTGTCACCATGGCACTTTCTGTACTGCACTAAAAACCAAACTTGGTACCTTTGAGACTTGACTTTGAGACTTTAGTACCAAACTTAAAGGGACGCTCAACTGTTTGTCTGAGGCTACAGATCTTTAAAGGAAGAGACTGCTTATGTTTGTCCTGTAGAGCAACTGTTTTTGTTGACCATCAAGTCATAATCCACCCATCGCCGACCTTCTAGTGAGTTTTCAGAGACAGTAAATTGCCAGAAGAGATTGCCCATCTCTCTCCCATGGAGCAGCTGGTGGATTCAAACCATTTACCTTTGCCTTGGAAGCACAGTTCCTTACCACTAAGCCACCAGGGCTCCCTCTAGAGTTGTTACTAGATTCCAAAACCTTTCTTTTAACAGCCTAAAATGTTACTCATACCTGACCAGGGCCTCTTATATCTAATGTTTTATACATACTGTCTACTTAAAGCTTCTCAATTACCCTATATAATAATATCTATTGAGGCTCATTTTGTGAGTGAGAAAACTTCCTTCCTGAAGTCATACTGGCTAGCAAGATACATAATCAGTCTTTTTTGACTCTCTGATGTATATTGTTAACTATGAGCTAGATTTGTTCTTTAATCATTATTTTAATTTCTAGCAGTACCAATAGATCTGTAGGTGAGGCTGTATTAATGTATCTCTGGAATTTTGTTATATAAATTCAATGTTACTGTTATTACATTATAGTTCCCTGAACTCTTGTTTGAAGAAGAGACAGAACAGTGTGCTGATTTGTGCCTCCGACTTCTCAGACACTGTAGCAGTAGTATCAGTACAATAAGGTCACATGCTAGTGCCTCACTTTACCTACTGATGAGACAGAACTTTGAGATTGGAAATGTAAGTATTTTATCATGAATATAACTTCTACAGATTATCTATGATATAGCTTTCTTTGAAAACATGGAATTTTTGAACATTTTGAATCTGTGCTTAGACTGTCTTGATAGCTCTCATTCTATAGATATCCTATAAACATGCAATTTTCATTAGTCTAGATTTAGGATGTAAATATA